CACATTTGAAAAAAATTAAAACCCTTCTTATTGGGTGATCATGATACTTTTGTAGAGTTAGAAACCGGTTAAAACTTCATCTAAGTAAGATAACCTCTTACCCCAGCAACTGATCTGACGGCTAATCACCTTCCACCATTTCCTAAATGGTTTTCGACATCAACTTATCCTTGCATGTCCCGGCTTTGTTGATAAATAAAAATTACAAAACGGGATGACAATTGATGGCCATGCTGATACATACATATCACATGTCGCAACATTGTCAAAATTATAATGAAGATTCTAATTAATTAATCGTAGTTGTTGAACCAATTCGAATGTTTCAGCGATTTATAATGGTGAAAGGGGCATGTCCCCTACAAAATTCCAGGTTTGTCGATGTCAAGTAGACATGTAAAGACTAACCAGAAGATTTGTCCCCACCAAAACCAGACTCCAAAATGCCAGTCTGGTTAAGATGACTCACGTCACCCCATACTTTAATGGACCACTCATCCTCATCAGACAACTGAAATACATTGACACATGTATTCATAATCTTCCCAGCAGACCGCCCATGTGAAGATGCCCGTCTATGAAGTGCTCTGATAACTCCTCCATGAGTGACCGCAACTACTCGCTCCCCTGCAATTGAAACTAGGATCACATGCTATATTTTTCCACGAACCATTGTGATTTTGAGTCTTGTAGTACCTATGTGCTTGTTTGCAATCCTTTGCAGCGAAGATGTGCAGCGTTGATAAAGTTGATCAAGACTTTCTCCACCACCCTGCAATGGCAAGTAGTAGTCAATTACCCTCTGTTTATGGTGTTTGTCGTGTTACATGGAAGGTAGGGGAGCGGGTAGGCTTGTCCAATCTGACCATTTAAACCAATTTTGTGCAACTTGCTTGTTTTATTACAAGTATTTGTGTCAATCTTCATTTTCTAGAAACAAAAACATAAACTACAGACATTTTAATGATACAAAAGGGGGATCTTGTTATTGCAGGGTGAATTTTGGGTATACCATGTCAAGGGAAAAAGATACTCGAGAAAAAATTGGTTGAACCAAAAAACTGCTTGGTTTCTCTGCAAATGCCAAAGGCACCTACAAGGAAACTATGCATCCTTACTCAATTACACTATACAACCATGCAACTATAGAAGGACTTCCAGTATCAGACAAGGTTATTGGATCCCACGAGCAGTATTCCAGTGGGAATAGATAAGCACCAGCAAATCTAGTGTCTAGTAGCTTAACATCAGCTGCGCCGATCAAAAACACGGGATTATAAACCTAACAATTTGACATGTAACCAAATGAATAACAAGCTTGACCGCAAATTAGCACCATCACAATCATGAGGCATCCATCTCCTTCCAAGACAGAGCTAATTAAAGGATGAAAACTTATTTTATTCAACAAATAAAAATGAAAGATACATTACTCCTTTTTTCAGGAAGGTACCATTTTAGCAAGTAAAGAAAATCAGCCCAAGCATTGCTGGTGAAGATATCAAGCAATACACTTACTTTTGAAGTAGAATTTTAGGCCGTACTTACTGGGTCAGGAGCATATTCGATAAAAAGCAACATTATCAGTCAATGAAGTCTCCAATCAGGGAGACAAAATGGTGCTTCCAAATAGAATGAGGTCATCAAAATGTTATCCAACCAACTTTTCTGCCATTACCTCTCCTTCAGCCCAGTTAATTCTTAGGTAATCATTAGGGACCAAGGTGTCTATGAGGCACTTTGATGAAAATATAGTTCTAACAACCATAGAAACAGACTTAATTTAATGGTGCATTGGTCATCCGCAACAGATATAAAACATAAAACTCACTGGAATTTCTTCATCCCTTCGTTTAGATACAAATGCTCTATAAGCCTTCGAACTGCTTTTGGCAGCTTCACGAACCACTAGGCCTTGGAGATCCCCGAGATGTCTTTCCCGCAGGTCTGGGTCTTCAAGAACCTGATCCCAACAATGCAAAACAAGCAATGTGATGCTCAATTGATGGTCTACATACCGATATTTTAAGGACCACCATTGGCATTAAAATTTATGTTGTAAAACATGTAGACCATTTCCCACCTCCATGCCTGGTAGGCCTTTATGCAAATGCTAAGACACATTTGCATTTTGTTACAGGAATAAAAGAGAAGTATCTTAATAATAACTCCAATAAAATGGCAGTTAACTCCTATATATAGATTGCTGGTAACTCCTAAATGTAGACATTCTTCTGTTCACTGCGATAATGACAACAATGCAGACTTCAACTTCATTTAAAAAATGCTAGCAAGACCTCCTAGATGAGAACTTTCCATGGGAAACACATGAAAAGAAAGTCACACAGCGTGTTTATATCATCTCCAATCAATTTCAAAAAATTTTAATGCAGAAAAGGAACACAGAGTACATACTTTCTCAATCAAGATAGAAGAAACATAAACTGAAGCCTTCATTAAAACGAGGAAAATGATAGATTCCAACCAATTGCTGACCAGAATTCAGCAGTGAGCACTTCCAATGCTCAAAATCAGATAGTGATACCAAAGTCTAGTTTATTCGCATATCCAGCACAACTTAGCAAGAGGAATTGGGTGAATGGCAAACTAGTAGATTAATAACTAATTGATACCTGAAGGCCCCCGCAGCTGCTTGCTATAATCTGTGCAGTCTCAAATGCTCTCTTCAAGTCAGATGAGTAAACCGCAGAGACTTTGAACTCTTTGGAAACTCGCTCAGCCACCTTTTAACAAACCAAACAGAACTTTTATCCTTAAACCACACCAACTACGTGCATGATAAAATGCATAAACTGTATTGCACAAGTCAAGGATTACCGCGGTAGCTTGCTCTCTTCCTACGTCGTTTAACTCAACGTCTAAGTGCCCCTATGTACGAAGATTAAACAACATCACTAATTTTGAAGAGAATCTACCAATTCATAGAAGATTATACACGGGAAGAGTAACGATTATCCTGACAGGATAGATAGGGATAGGGCAATTGTTTATCTACTATAACATAAATTTGGGATCAAAATTCCGTAAACAAAATTAATTGAGCTAGTAACTGCCGTCAGAAAAACCTGAATTCTCCCATCGGCATTCCATTCGGTTTCACCATGACGTATCACAACAATTTCAGCGTACTTTCGCTCTCCTGCTATATTATCCGTAATTTTACCGTCGCAATCGGCCTCGGCTTGCTCTAAAATCCTGAGCCAAGTAAACAGGTATGAAAAAAGAAAAATGAAAAAGAAGAAGAAGGCTTGGATGGAACTTTAATCAGGGGAAAAAAAAACCAAAAAGTAACTTCAAATAGAGAAAACCTGGGCCTGGAATGGGCCATTAAGGAGATGGAAAGGGAGCTTGTTCCTGGATTGTGGATCAACGGAGGAGAGATGATGAAACGGAGCGTTTCGGAAACCGACGGAGAAGGTGAAGAAGACTTCAGAGTGTTTGCGTGGCGGGGGAATTGGAATATTTTCACAGCACACACACGGGTCATTTGACGATGGTAAGTATTTCCGTTTTCCTTTGTTTTTCTTCTCTGGATAAATATCTTACTATTGTGTGGACTCTGGACTTTTCTGGACCAGGAACACCAGACGGTTTGCTACTGGCCCAAATGTCACTTTTTGGGCTGTATACTTGCGTTTACAGGCCTGTATCTAGTTCCGCAGTGCTTAAAACTCGTTCAATTCGGCCACAGCCGGTGGGTCATCAAATTATCATTTATCACCCTGTGTTGTATTGTGTACGATATGATCCATGGTTAACAACCAGCAAAACTTTGGACTGAAAAGGATGGTCAAATTGAGGGGTTTGTAGGACCAAACCAAACGTGAATTGCAAGACTCCAAAAGTATGAAACTGCCTTTAGCAAATTGCCAAATGGGAACTAATTATGAACACTTTCCCTCGTCTTTGACCAATAGCCTTTTAGATTGACTGCCGAGATTGAAAATTACTTTTCTTTTCCCCATCAAGTCACGT